TTGATGCTCTAAAATGTACATATTTTATTAGTTTACAAATATGAAAGCCAAATTTAAAATAGTAATGAAAATAAGTAGTTTTATCGTAAAATTAGTTAGAAAAAATGATTCAAAATAGTCCGTTATTCGTAAAAATCTTCATTTTTATCAGTAGAGTAGTTTACTTACCTCTCAGTTTTAATATTTTTCATCTCGGCACTATAGTGTTCAGTATTTGATGAATAAAATTGCATCACCATCTCCACATCTACTTGTGGTAAATTTCTGGAATTTGCTTTTACAAAACCTGGATTCAGTTTCTTTTTAAATACACTTTAACACTTTTCCAAAAATAAATACAATAGAATTAGAGGCAACCACTGATAATACAATAAGTATTCGCAATGAAATACTAAATGATTGAAATGTAAGATTATATTTTATATTCTTCTTTTTCTTCTCTTTTTTTGGGCTGTGAATATTTTTTATATAGTTTGGCATGGATAAAGGAAAAGACCGTTCGTCTTTGTACTCCGTACTCGGTGTAAACGGAACCGTCTATCGGTACTTCTATCCTTTTTTTAAACATAATAAATGACAAGGAATATTGCTAGTTTTATCGATATGGCAAACATTGCAAAATAGAGCCTGTTTCCATTGGTACACGTCACAATCCACCTTAGCCCCGAAATTCAAATTTAAACATTTAATTGTAGCCACAGGGTAGGTCGCAGAGAGGTTGGACCCGGTCAACTGTGTTAAAGCGGGCCAAAATAATATGATAAAAATATTTTTAAAAATCACTGGATGAGTCCGTTGAATGGATAATTTGATTTTCAGTTTCCTAATGAAAACCAGTGTTATAATGAGTATATATCATTATGAAACTGAAAATTAGCATTTAATTAACAACTTATGTGAAACCTGTGTAAAACGGAATCGCACGGTCGTGCACCGATTTTCCGGCATATACAGGATTCCGCGTTACACAGGGTAGATAAAAAATTGCACATAGTAGATTTAAAATAGTGATTATTTTATTAAAAAAAATCTAATATACGTACATTTAATATATAGTTGTTATTATTACTATGTACCTACATATTTTTATTTATTATTAGAAACAATATAAATTATTATTTATTCCACATTTCTATCAATGTAAGTTGTTTTTTATTCTTTTGTAATACGTAAGATGATTCCATGAATGTCCTTAATTCTAAAATCTTCTTTCTCATCGGTTCGCTCTCTATTCTTTGGGAAAAATCCTCTAACGCTGCAACACTCCTCAAAGCTTCAGAAAAATTTTTTATCCGATCGGATTCTTCAACTTCTGTTCCTGTAGATAAAAATAATAATTTAAGAACAGATCGTTTTGAAAAGCTAATGGGAAAATAATTTTTTCTATCTGTTATTTTTGTGATGGTAACTGAAATCTTCCTATCTTATTTTTATTATGTATTTTAACTTTATTTCTACTTGGCTAAATGCCCAATTAAGATGGAAAGAATAAATAAAAAGTTGTTTATTTTTTTAGAGAATTAGAAAAATCGCTTACCAATTCCAATCCCATCATTATCGTCTGCCACAGTAGTTTCCACGGCAGTTTTTTCTAACACCAGTTCTTCTATGGACTGAAATCCAGCATTTGTTGTAACGGCTTCATCTAATGTGATGTAATCATGAACATTACAACCGGGATTAATTTCAGTAATTAACTCTTCGACTTCTTTTGTACTTTCGTCAATTTCGTCAACATTTTCGATTAGGTCAACGTCTCCATCTTGCTTGATTCCACATGCCGCAAAACACAATCAGGTTTAATATTTTTTACTAAATAATCAATCCATCTGATAGCATCCAAAACTGATATTTTTTTAGCCAAATCTCCTGCTGATTGAGAGAATCTCATATTCGCAATAATTGACCGCAGCACTTGTTTTCTGTAATGCATTTTGAAGTTTTGTATAACTCCATGATCGAGAGGCTGTGTTTGACTTGTGGTGTTTGGTGGTAGAAAACACAATTTTATATTGGATAGTATTATTTTGGGGTGACACGTTGCATTATCCAAAAATAGAAGGATGTGTCGATTTTCAAATTTCATTTTTTGATTTAAAATTTTTAGCCACTGTTCCATAAGAACTGATGTCATCCATGCTTTTTTATTTGCTCGCCAATAAACTGGTAGCTGAGGCACATTGGTATTGTTAAAACATCGCGGTCTGAGGGATTTTCCAATAACTAGAGGTTTTTCTATGTTTCCGTCAGCAAAGGCGCAAAACAAAACGGATAACCTTTCTTTAGATTGTTTGCCTCCTTGACATTTTTCACCTTTAAAGCACATTGTCTTGTCCGGCAGCGCTCTATAAAAAAGGCCAGTTTCGTCACAATTAGCAATGTCTTTTAGGGTATATCCTTTAATTCAATCTGTAATGTGCGATGTCCATTCAGTCACAGATTCCATGTCGACGTCCTTAGCTTCACCGCAGATCTGATTAAATCTTATGTTATGTCGTGTTCGAAAACTTTCCAGCCATCCATTCGAAGCTTTAAAATCTACTTTTCCAAAATGGTTTGCAATTTCTCTTGCTTTTTCTTGAATAATTGTTCTAGATACAGGAAGATTGCGAGACCTTGCATCCATAAACCATTCCAAAACTGTTGAATTTACGTCGTCGTGATGTGATTCCTTTGGCTTTCTCTTAATATCGCCATTACCACCACGCATCCACTCTTCTTTAATTTTTTCCTTGTTTTTCAAAATTTCATACACTTGCGTTTTTCCGCACTTAAATTGAATAACCAATTGCTTTGGAGTAAGTTTTTTTTGGTCACTACATTTAATTAAGTCCATTTTAGATTTTAGCGATAATGTATTCGTTTTTCGGTTTGCCATTTTGAAATGTTTGCACTTTCACGGATAAACTCAAACTGCCGTACCTACACAATACTGGTTTATTTGTGTATTTACTGCTTTTGTACCTAAATTTCTGTGATAATGGTTCTAAGTATTGATACTAGTTCGCCCTTATTATGGGGCTTTCCGAAATCATAAACTAATTATGTAAACATCTATAAATTCTTTTATACCTGCAAAGCAATAACATAAGTAGGTTCCGGCTTAACAGATTAGGGAAATTCCGTGTTCGCGTTAGACAGGGTTCCGGCTTATAAGCAATTTTTACATTACAATATGTAGGTAATCGCCAAAATTTCCGTCATACACAGGATTCCGTGTTACAAAGGTTCCGGCTTACTCAGGTTTCACTGTAGTATAGGAGTAAAAAAATAATTAAATGTCCTGGTAGGACATTTAATTCTTCTAGTGGTACTAGAAGAAATCCATAAATATATAAAAATAATATGATATACATAAAACTACTAAGTAGAGATCAGTGATGGGGAAAAACTATTTTTAAATTTGTTCTGCCTCCATACTACTGTTAAGAACTCCGTAAACTTGGCTGCAATGTTCAATCAGAATATTGCATTTCTGCCAAGAACGCTTAGTTAGTGAACCTGTGTTGGCTTCAGAAATTTTGTAAACTATCCTATTTTTCTTGGTTATATATCTTTGGTCACTAGTCTGCACACATCCGCTCTATTGTATGACGAATTTATCAATTCTCTGGTTATTGTTTGGCAACCTACGCGAATTCTATCTCTTATATTATCAGAAGTAATACTAGAAGAAGTGAGAATTTTTTGAGAACATTTTATTGTTTCTTTGGAAATTATGCGTCCGAATTTCACGAAAAAAAAAAATCCTCCTTAAAATACCACGAGACGTCAGTCTAGTGGTATTTCAGGAGAATTTTGCAGAAATAAATTTGCATATTTTATAAAAAAACAAAAAAATGTTCTTAAAAAATTCTTATTTTGGGTGGTATTTGAAAAGATTATATAACGTTTATAAACAATATTTGCTTTGTTTCCAATACAGTTATGTATATAAAATGTATAATTAAATAACTAAAATGATTTTGTCCATTTTTCGTCACCTTTATGACAAACTTCACATTGACATTTCGTATAAATTATTGATGTGTTACTCTGGTAATGAATTGAATTTTTTAAATCCAACCTTTTTAGCAATCTTCAAATTGACGTTCCTCATAAATATTTGATGCGTTACTCTGGTAATAAAATTAATTTTTTAAATCCAATCAGTATTGAGTCAAAACACTGCAGCATGCAGTGTTTTTAGATACAGTTTGTGTGGATTGGTGTCTCTTTTGGAATAAAAGATGACTAATAAATTACGAGTTTTGACTTTCAAACTCACTTTTTAAAAACTAATAATTTAATTTTTGAAAATAACTTAAATAATTTTTATATTATAATTACAAAGTAAAATATATATCAGACTGAAAAATATTATTAAAAATAAATACTGACATTAGTGAACGTTGACCTATGACCGTGTGGAATGTGTTGAGTCGGCAGGTCATTGTTCTGTAACTAACATGACTGTATTATAGCGTTAATTAGTCAATTAAATTTGGATAGTCCTAATCTAAAATTCACCATCTAATTCCATCTAATTCCAATTAATTAAATTTAGACCATTCAAAATTTAATTAAAATATTCCAATTAATTAAATTTAGATAGTTGGATATAAAATTAACCATCTAATTAACTTACGATTCTTTTACCATTTAAAATCCATTAAAAACCCTAATCTCAATTAAATTAAATAGATAATTCAAAAAATAATTTACTAATCTAAATTTCTTACTATTTAAATCAATTATGTTTGGATAGTCCTAATCTAAAATTAACCATCTAACTAGTTAGTACTAATCTAAACTTTGAACCATCCAAATGTAATTAAATTTGGATAGTCAATTTAAAATCGACTAACCAACCAAATTCTTAACCTAAACCTTTCCCCTTCAAAATCAATTAAAAGCAAATATTTTTCACTGACGTGAAACGCTTGCAAGTACGGCCACTTTAACAATCACTACTAATTCTTTTAACTAAAAAAAATTATTAGGGCCTCCTTCAATAAGTTTTTGTTTTTCAGATGGTCAACTGCATACTTCCGCTGCTTGTCACTAAACATACCAGCACCTGTCAAACCACGTCTAGAATATCCAATACCACGCGACTATTTAGGCATAACTCCAGGATGGTTGAAAGCGCTTCTTCATCAAATATCTTATTGTAGATTCATTCATTTCAAGATCCTATGGGACAGATGGACCGGCGCCTGCTTAGCGCATAATACGCTCATACAAATGTTATGCTTGGGAGGATTCACCAATCATAAAGCCATACATTGGTTAAAATTCGTGGGGCTGTGTGCAGCACATTTGACAGATGTAAGAAATATATTATAAGAAAAAGTTATACGAGGTTGGCCTCGGTCTGCAAAGCCAAAACTATTTAATTTTTTTAAAATCTATTTGCACAGTAAGGTGTATCTAAAAAAAGGCAACAATTTAAAAATAATTTCAATTATACAGGGTCACCCAGTCTTTGAATTGCACTCGCTTTTCCCAGTATAACAAACCTAATAGTATGAAAACATTTTATTATGTTTGTATAATTTGTAAGGAAACATCAAAATTTTCTTTAAGAAAAACTCACCTCCCGTAGTATTTGGAAAGATTATTTATAAATATAAACAGAACTATTATAAATGGAGTTGATTTGTTTCCGTAAGATTAAGTGGATTCTGCATTTAATACAATGTATATTTCATCTACCAAAACGACTTTTGTCCATTTTTCATCACCTTTTTAACAAAATTCACATTGATATTTCACATAAATCACTGATACGTAACTTGGATAAGGAACGTGCGTGAAATATAGAGACATCACTACTGCCGACGCGTTAGTGTTTAATTTTGGAATTAAATGAGGTAAACATTGGAAGTAAATAATAAAGGATATTTTTAAAAAAATTAAATATAGTTTAATATAGATGTTATGTTATGTTGAGAATGGGGTGTTAATACACTGCGACCTAAAATATCTATTGTGTCCCTTCTGTCGCCACTGCACCAAGGAAATGTCTCAATGCCTATAGCGACCCTTCCAGTCCTATTTTCTCAAGGAAGTGTAGGATTTGAAGTGGCTTCAAGTTAGGTAAATCTGCCTCTTCCATTTGATATCCTCCTAGATATAGTGCCCTTGGATTCTGGAGTGCTACACACTCAGTTAGGATGTGAATGGAGGTTTCGTCGTCCTCCTCACAGAATCTGCACTCACTATCCTCTACTACTCAGTTTACTTAGGTTTCCTTTTAGTCGGTAATGCCCGGTAAGGATCCCTGTTACAATACGTAGCCTGTTCTTGCTCAGGCAGATGCAGGCGCTTCCGATCTTTTCTGGTTATATTCACCCAGAAGTATCTTGGCCTGTCTCAGCCCCAAGAGATTGTTCCAATTATCGGTTCTTCTACTGCCCAATTCCTTTTTAATCTCTCCTAATATTATGTTACTGCTGATACCGCAGAACGGCTCAGGTCCTACAGAAGGTGTTTGAGCCCCTTTCCTTGCCAGACTATCTGCAATCTCGTTATCCTATACCCCGTTATGTCCCGGGACCCAAGTGAGAGTAACTCTATTTTTCTCGCCTAGCTCATTCAATTGTTTTAGGCACTCCAGACCATTTTTGAGCTGATTACGTAAGAGCTCTGCGCTTTGATGGCTGCTTGACTATCGAACCTGATGATAATCTCTTGTCTATGATAGTTTCTCTCGATGTTAAACTGGATACACTTCTCGATGGCGTGAATTTCCGCCTGGAAGATGCTTGGGTATTTTCCCAAGCTTTCGGAGTGCTTGGTTCTCGGCCCATATACTCCTATTTCAGTTCCTTCTATGGTTTTGGAACCGTCCTTATACCACTGAATAGCACGTCTTTCGGTTGCAATATATACCTAATAAGAATAAAACAAACCAATATATATTTACCATTTAGCATAAGTATTTCAGGATATTAAAAAAATATATAAGAATTTTAATTACTTTTGTAATGACTTTAAAATATAAATTATCTAGTTTATTTATTTAAATTAGGTAACTAAGGGCAGATTCCACCATTATATTAAACGAGGTTTAAATTACTTAACGAAGATTAAAATGACATTTTTATATTTACAATTTCATTTTAATCTTTGTTTAAGAACTTAAACTACGTTTAACACAATGGTGAAATCGGCCCTAAATATCCTTATATTACTGATGATAGTTTACATTTTAGACCATGTACAAATATACAGTATGCGCCCAAAAACAAATAACATATTTTTTTCTTTTCAAATCGGCAATTCTGCACAAATTTTTTTAAATATTGCACATACTTTTTCACTCATCTTAATTGTGCCTGTAATGTTTTATTTTTGTTTCGTAAGTTTGAAGCAGTACTGTTGGCAAAAAAAAGTCTTCTTAATGACCTATTTTCTAGAAACTTTAATGTAAAGTTACCAAAATATGTAGGTTTTCTGAAATAAGTATTCATATAAAATTTAATGTATCAGCTTAGATCAAATCCAATGTTTGATTTACTTCTTAATTAATGGTGACTCAAATTTTGTTGATGAGAGTTTCAGTCATACCTTGAACTTAACATTGAAGTGTATGAGGTACTTTTGTTCAAACTATAACTTCTTTTATTTGTTGGCAAGTTTAATACTCTTAAAGAAGGTCTCTACTCAAATAATTTAGTATATGTAGAAATTAATATACTAAAAACATTCAAACATATTATTGATTCGCCAAATTTATTAAACGCAATACTTCTGTGGGAGGAGATTCTACCTGAGATAGGTCTTTGTGTTTGACCAATATAGACTTTATTACATTCTAGACAGAAGTGATTGCAGACTGCATCCGGAACGTTGTGCTTTGGCTGAACATGCTAATAAATATCAACATAATATAAATTATGACGAAATTAAAATATTAGCCATTGAAAATAACTACCATAAAAGACTTTTCTTGGAGATGGCTTTCATTTCACAGGAACCAAATTCTATGAACAAAAAGACAGATATTAACAATTTAAGTGAAATTTATTCTTATTTATTGGATTTGGACAATAAACCAAACCAAATTCATAATTTAAATAATACAGAGAGGGACTTGGAAGTTTCTTCTAATTCGTATTTTTAGAACACTAAATATAATAACAATTTTATTTTTTCTTTATATTCATATTTTATTTTCCTTGTTTCTCCTAAAACGACGCCCATCTTTTTCGGTAATAAATATTATTAACGAGTGAAACGTAACTTCTCTTCTTCTTTTATATTTGAAACCACATAAAACACAAGTTTTTTCCTAGTATAAAATAAACCCTACTAACCAAAATCTCTTTTAACACCACCATACTTGAACGAATTTTAGTAAAAACTTAAATAATTGTCTAAAAATAACTGGAAAAATAAATATAGAGATGGAGATATTAATCTATTTTTTCTAATTAGAATCTTTGATACGATTCTCGGCCATATTATCAAGGCGACACAAACATTGTTTACTGTCCTCTCTGTACTACTCTGAGGTATACGCCAGAGCCACGGTGGACTATAAAGGTGCACCAACTCTCATTTAAAAACAAATGAAAACGGTGATAAAACCTGGCGTACTTACTAGCAAAAATCCGCTAGGTTCGCTAGTGTCTATCCGGCGAGAAAGTAAATAAAAGATAAAAGTAGGAGGAATAGGAGCTGCAATTTGAAAAGTGTTGACAGATAAATATTTTTTAAAAACTTAAAATAAATAATAAATTATGATAAATCGTTGTGCTGTTTTTAATTGTGATTATGGGCGGAGGTCTTCAACATATTAATAGCAGTTTTATAATGCCAAAATACAGTTATACAGAATATGGTGCAAATTATTGCTGGTATGAAAATAAACATTAAACCCAAAAGTTCCATTTGTGAAAAACATTTTAATGCAAATTATGTTATCCGTGAAAAAGTGCTAAGAAATCTACTAGGAAACGTTATTTTTCAAGTAAATATGTTTAATGTCTAAGTTTTAAATTATTGTAGGTTATATAAATAAGTTATTCAGCTTTGTCTTTTTTTAGTAATAAAAAGAATTATTAGCATAAAGTTTTACTATATAAATAATATTTTGTATTATTTATCCTTGGTCTCCTTGGTACTAATAATGTTATGACTTGAACCCTATATAATGTGTTCATGATATAAATTTCATGTACATAGGCATTTCTTTTGATATTTTTCTGACCCTGTAAATAAATAAAATCTTTGACTTATTCCTTTTAGCCTGGTTACAATGCAAGAAAGTTGTCTCTGGTTACATGAATCAAATAGATACTATGATAATATTATTTTACTTGTAGCCTTTTTATTTTTAAGTGTTAAATATACATTTGTTTAATAATAATCACTCCCTAATGCGATTTGTTCCAGTTCTTTAAATATATTTACTAGGTTTTATAGAAGTACTGATTTTAAATTAATAAAAATTTGAGTTGTTAGAAATATTTAAGATTTTTCTATTCTGTATTTTTATAGGAGTTAATCCCTTTAAGTAAATAAATATATTTCGGAGTCGAAGATGTTGGTGATGTTTTTTCTGATGTACCTAATAATTATTTAAGGATCTAGAAATGCGCATATTCACACCACTCTGCACTGAAGTCTATAATTTGACACAAATTTGAATTTTCTAAATATCACTATCGAAAGGTATTATTGACATTAAAAATAACGATCGTATTACTTGAAAATCTTCAGATTTTTTTTTATTTTTAATCGATGTAAAAATTGGTAAATAGATGATTAAAAGTAAAAGTTATTTCAATATGCTTATTCCTTGGTTCCAAATAATTAAATATAACCTTGCAACTATATGTTACATTTCCAACTATCAGAACTAGCCGGAACAAGAATGGTGCAGATAGGTGCATTTCCAGACCCTTCGATTACAAGATTACCATTATTTAATGTGCAGCGCAAATATAAAAAAACTACCTAAAAAATGCTGTTCCTACTTTCATTACTTACAATGGGACTACTTCTCAAAGGAGACGAGAATGTGGAAAGTATAGCTGATACAGTTACCAAAGTTATTAACTACTGGGGGTGAAGTGTTAATTTTTTAGGAAAATAGGAAATATTTTTTTATACCTAAAAACTTAATATTTATTTATTGATAAGTTATAGATACTATGTATTTGAAATTCGAAGTAATCATTATGAAACAGCAGTGTTCTTTTTATTGTATTCGGATTATAACACAAATAAAACATCTTATTAAATTTTTGTTAAAATTATATTGTTTAATGGATGCCTCTTGTCATTATGCACCTTATTAAAAGATATTGATTTTAAAAGAAAAAAGATGATCCAGTTCAAGGGCTTATGGAACTTTCCGATGTTGCTGTGAAACGGGATATATTTTTAAGAAATTACATAAAAGAAAAGAAAACAGGTTTATTTCAGTTTGTTTTTATTGATGAGACATGGATTTTCCAAAATGAGACTATAAACCGTTCTTGGCAAGATAAAAATAAAAGAAGTCTGAAAACCACAAAAGTTGATGGTAAAAGGTACGTAAATAATTACTAGAATATAGTTGAAATTTTTATTTATAGGTACATTATACTCAATGCTGGAAATGAAAATGAATTTACTAAAGGAGCAGAGGCTATATTTGAGTCACAAAGTAAGCTGAGGATTAATCATGGTGAAATGAATAATGAGAATTTTTTAAAATGGTTTAAAGAACACTTACTGAAAAACTTAATGAACCATCCTTAACCATAATGGACAATGCTTCATATCACAGTACATTGTTACATAAAACACCAAACTCTAGCTAAACAAAGATCAAAATACAAGAGTGGCTGACAAATCAGAATATTAGATTTTCATTTGCTATGTTTAAAGCGGAACTTCTGAATCTTGTTGCACAGTCAGTAAAAGAAATCTATTTCGTTTATAATTTCTTAATTACTTTTTTCTAGAAATAAACCACCAAAAATTTACATGGCTGATCTTCTAACAGAACAATACGAACATAAAGTATTACGCCTCCCTCCTTAAATTCAATCCAATTGAACTTATTTGGGGTATTATCAAGCAATATTGGTCGAGATGATAAAACAAGAAGATTGTTTAAATATGTGGTCAGAAGCACTCCAGACCATAACACCACAAATTTGGGAAGAAAATATCAGCCATACAGAAAAAGAAATCTCAAAATGGTACGACAGAGAGGGAATAATTGATAGAATAGAAATTACTCCAATTATTATTACACCAAACAGCGATGATAGTGATTTCAGTAGCGATGAATCTGAATAACAATCTCAAGAGACGTCGAAAGAGACATTGTTACAATTATGGTGATATTTGGAGTTATTGAGTGAAATACACACTAATAATATAATCGATTGCAGTACTGTACTATAATAATAACTGTATTCTTTAGTTTACCTTTTATTATTTGTTTAATATTTACTTTGTTATTTGTACATATATGAATTTTATATAACTAACAAACTGTAAAATAAAAGTCGTTATGTTTTGAAAAATATTTATGTTTTCATTTTATGATACCCAAATATTGTTCAGGTAGTTAAAATAGCTGTGACGGTCTATAATTTATTACGTAATCGATTACATGCATTGGTTTTTATATTGTATGAAGTTATACTACACAAGACAAAGGAAGAAAGAACATTATGTTAATTGTATTTATTTTGAAATGTGTATCTACAATATTTCTCTGTGGATACTTTTTAAATTAATTTAAATTTAAATAATTATTTTTACTATTACTTATCAATGATATTTAACAGTACTTTGGCATAACAGATTATCGCAATTCAGTAGGAAAAGTCTATTCTCTAATGACAGAAAGACGTTTTTTATCTATTTTTTTTTAAATCTCTCTCCTCTGATTCTTTTGTAGAATTTGACCAACACGATGACTTTAATATGCGAAATAATGACAGAAGAACCGGAAGGTGGATCGGCAATGATTCCATTCGAAATATTTATGGACTTATATATATTTTTGGCAAAGATTGACGCATCAAAACCACAAGTTTTAAAGAATATTCATTTCGGCGATGCCGTGTTAAATGTATATAAACGTCTCTCGGATAGAGATTTGGCTATTGAAAAAACGTCGGAAGTTGAAGAAGAAGAGGAAAGGTAGGGTCATCAAAGTGTTATCCACACTGATTTATATGATTTTATTTTTAAATTTGAGTGGAAAATAATTACATTATATTAATTTATTTTTAAATTTACAACTATTTTAGTCAAAAGTCTGAATCAATTGAATCTATAGATTTAGATTTGGAAAAAGAAGTAAGCAAAGAAGATATTTCATGTCCTAGTTTGGTGGGAGATGACCATTATTCTGTAGATTACTATTACGATCAAGTTTTGGAAACTGCTCAAATGGAGGAGGAAGGGTAAGTAATATTTTTGCAGAGAGTTTATAGTGATGTTTCAATAAGTTCATAGATCTTTGTTAATAGTATATTATGCAACGATCATGTAATGATGGTTATTAATACACGAGCATTAACCGGGATACGAAACGAGCCAAAGGCGAGTTTCGTATGGTTTATGCGAGTGTTTTAATAACCATTACATGAGAGTTGCATACGCTATTTTTTCTACACCCGATAAATAATCAAGACCTATAAATATTCTATTTATATTGGCATTGAACACAATAACAGTAATTACTCGTATTTCTATAAAAAATTCTACAAAATTGTAATTAATAGTATTACCTTGGGTATTGGTATTACCACAGATTTTTGGGGCAAAATATTTTGTACTGCATTTTCTCCTTTCTCCGATATGTGTGGAGGAGTCTTCTATATCACTGATATCAGACATTTTAATATTATAATTATCGAAGTTTAGCTATCTACGAAAATTTAATACGTTTTGACAACTAAAACAATTACATAGGAATTTAGGACAAACGTCAAACATCATGCTTGATTGAAAAATTGTAGGTTTCTATTGATTAAAAATCTGTATCATAATGAAAAATCTGTATCATAATGGGTATCATTATGAAACGGATTATGGGCATATAAGTGCATTATTATAATACGGGTGTAGAAAAATATAATTTTTAAACCTCATGTTTTCAATTCTGAACTTTATAAATTATTTAAAAAATAAAAATCATCAAGATATCAACATAGTCACAGGTATAATAAACATTGATCTTTTAAAAGACAATGATTATACAGAAAAGTATAAACATGTCCCTAGCTGCTACATGTATGGTTATCAATTTTATTTACTTATTGAGTACACCAGTCATACCTGCCTTGATCACCATTTTTTGTTAGTAAAATTAAATTCAATGAAACGTAATATTTGTATTTATACCTATTATTAGATATAGATAATATTACTAATCGCAACCCGATATGTCTTACTTTTAAAGTAAATATAAAAAAAGAGACACAAACAAATAACTTTTAAGATATAGGTATTATGTAAGTTATCTAGCTAAAATCCAGTTTATCTCAAGATAATTAGAATAATATGTACGGGGAAACCGATGTGATACCATAACACTAAAATTTAAATTCACGAAGCTTACAAAAACTATTAAAATGTAACAAAACAGTCATTTAATAAAAAATATATTATTTTATAAAGAAAAAAATATATATAAGAAATCATATCATTAATTTAATTAAATAATGTTTTAAAATAGCAAAAACAGATTATTAATCAAAACAAGTAGAAAAAAATTAACATTCTTCAAAATCCATGTGGAGCTGTAATAATATGTGTGGAAAAAGAAAATCTGGAACTTGCCAGACGAAATTATTGCTAATGCATTTAATGTATAGTCTAAACTAAGTCAATTCGAAGAGCATAGAAACTAAATATCTACTGACCGTCGGCAACTTCTTTGTGATATAATTTTTACAAAATTAATTTTATTTTTCATATACCTACATGAATATTTTTTTTAGAAATATAGAGTAATGCCAAAAAAACACCAGTTTGTACTGCCATGAAAATTTAATAAAAAGTTAAGAGTCATTATCTGATTTTTTATAGCTTGAATTTGAATTTAAGGTTATAATAATGGGGTCAATGGAAGGTAAAATACAATATTCATTCTTTTTTTCTATGACATGTTGGGCACATTTTATTCATTTACCACTGTCGTTTACTTCATTAATAACCGTTCGTATATTTCCTAGTACGAAAGCACTGTTAGTTGGAGATTGATTATATTTTCTCAGGCCAAATCATCTCAATTGGATTGAATTTGCAGTAATGAGGAGGAAGACGTATGACCATGGGCTTCGCATATCTTGTCGATTACATATTCTTTTTGAGAGATTTCTTTTTTATAGCTTCCAATAAGACTTTTTTGATAGCCTTTGTAGGAATTTCCATATTTTTACTTTCCATGAATTTAAGATTGTCGTCCTTCTTTGTGCTGCTATTGGGAATTTTGTTACGTAGACGGGAATAATAAGACGCATTGTCCTTAACAAGTTAACTGCCATAGCAAATTTTTTGTTTTGATCTGACAGGCCAAGACGGTTTTAAGATTTGGTATTATGTGGTAACTAACTTCTTATCTTCAATTATGATTAGTGACATTTATTAAAACAAAAAATGACATTCTTTGATTATCGGGCCCATGTGCCCGGCGCGGCGCACAGTATTCACTTCT